GAACCAAAGGGGTGAATTGACTTTCAAATAGTTCGCGCGATTACGCGCGCAACTAGTTTGCAATAGTTACGCGGGAAGCGAACGGGCGACTGAGGCCTTTGTCGGGATACAATATACTAGTTTGCAACGGTACTACTGGCGGGAAGCGATCAGCCGACCAGTCGAAACAGAAAAAAACAGAAACGAAGCCGTCGTCGCTTTGTTTTCGAAGTCGACAAATAACCGTAAAGCCGTGGAATTATGAAGAAAACCGCGAAAAAGAGTTAGACTACAGTGCGGACTCAGTTAGTTTTTACTGATGCTACATGCAATTCGCACCAAAATGGTAAGTTATTCGTGATCTTTACTGTTACTTATGCGTGGAATGAAGACAAAAAATTACAAACAAAAATGCATTTGTTCTCCGCGCGTATGCTTTGTTCGTTGATTTTTTTCCACTTTCTGTGCAGATCTAGTTTGCTGGAAGAAGCATTTGCAATTTTTCTGTGGTGGAGTTAAATTAGAAAGTGAAAAATAACACCCAAATTAAAGAGGGTACGAGCGACAACAGGTGGATAAATAAAATGATGAGCAAAAGGCATTTCGATTAACTGAAAGTGAAGAGGGAATCGAACCTTGAAAAGTTAGCAGTGAAAGAAACGTGGAACAGAAATTGGTAGAAAAAAATTAGAAGAAGTTGAAATAGAAAGAGAAGAATTAGTTTATGAGGAAATTCAAACAAATAAATCGTCATTAAATGAAAAATTAAGGCAGTGGTTTATAAAACATAGGCCTCCCGGTGAATGTGCACTCGACTTAGTAGGTATTTTGGAAGAGGAAAATATAGATGTTTGTCCGTTTTCAAAGCAAAACGCCAAAACAGAGGCGACATTCAGCTTAGTTGGTGGAGGATCTTATCTTCACATAGGTCTAGCTTGGCAGCTTCAACGCCATTTTCAGAATGTTCAAATAATGGAAGAGCTAAATATTGATATAAATATTGATGGACTTCCATTATTCAGAAGTTCAAGGACACAGCTATGGCCCGATTAGTTAAGTCAACAATTTCCAAATGTTCCAGTGTTTCCAGTTGGAATATTTTTGGGAAAAAGTAAGCCCCATAGCTGTGAGCAGTTTTTAGCAAAATTTTGTTTAGAATTTAAAGAATTAAAGAATGGCGGTCTATCCATTTGTGGCAGACCTATAAATATTGTTATTAGGGCCATAGTTTGCGATGCTCCAGCAAGAGCATTTATTAGCGGCACCCAGGACACACATCTAGTCACGGTGCGCCAAATGTACACAGATAGCCAGAAAGGTAGACAGGATTTTGACCTATAGTACTACTTCAGGAGTTTTAATTACCAATGAAGATTTTGCGCTTAGAAGATATCCTTGTCATCATAGCAGTCAGTATTTAAATTGTAGGTCAATATTAGAAGAAATTAACATTTCAATGGTGACACAGATTCCCTTAGATTGCATGCATTTGGTAGAGTTAGGAGTGATGCGTAAGATGTTGTTAAGGTTTGTCAATAATAAGTTAGTAGTAAAAAGTTCGAAAGAGTCCAGAGAACGCATTTCAGAAAAGCTAGTGTCCCTTAAACAATTTATTCCCAGAGAGTTTGCGCGTAGGCCTAGATCTTTAGATGAATTGTGTAACTGGAAGGCCACGGAGTTTAGAACAATTTTTGCTGTACACTGGAATCATTGCCTTCAAAAACGAAGTCAGTGACGACTTTATTATGAGTTTATGTTACTTCATTGCTCATATAGAATGCTATGCAGTTCTAAGCTGCAAGAGTACAATAAGGAAACTTGTCAACGCATTTTAGATCATTTTGTTCACAATTTTCCAATTGTATTTGGTGAAAATAGCGTGTCTTATAATGTACACAGTTTATTGCACGTAAAGGAGACTGTAGATCAAATCGGAGATCCGATTTCCGGCTCTTCGTATGCGTTTGAAAACTATTTGCAAACTTTAAAAAAATGTGTCCGAAAGCCTAGTAAAATTCTAGAACAAATATTTAGAAAAATTAGTGAAGACAGAATGGAAATAAAAGTACAGAAAAATCCTAGGATAGTGGGTAGTAAGTGCTTTTTTAATAATTTTGTTTTATCAGAAAAGGAACCTGATAATTTTTTTTTTATTAATGGAAATATCCCAATTATTGTAACAGGGTTTACGGCAAATGAGGGAGGAGCTATTATAGGGAAAAGACTTTCAAATATCAGAAGCTTTTATGAGGAACCTATAAACTCAATCGGACTAGGAATAGTTTTAGTTGATAGGGAAACCATAGCAATAGAGGAAAGGTTTGAATTTGTAGATTTGCAAAATAAAGGTGTAGGTTTACCGTATGAGGGAAATATTTTAGTCATTCCATTGCTTCATCATTGTATTTAAATTTAAATATGTTGTCAGTACCTAAATAAAAACAGATTTATATTGGGGGTGTTTAGTCCGTAGGCGTGTTTTTTCAACACGAATCGGGCATGCCCTTTATCGTCGGCTTTAAAGGGTATCTTTAGAAGATTCACCTAATTACCATGGTCCGCAAACCAAAAAAAAAAAAAATATATATATATAAATCTGTTTATTTTAGCAAAAAAAATTAATAATGGCATCACCTAGAAAAATTAGCCGTTTCACCATGTCAAGCAATGGTAAGTATTTTTGTATTTTATATTAAACAAAATTAATACTATTTTTTTTAGAAAATGAGCAGTGTAAAACCTGCAAGCAAATTTTGGAAGAGGTCAAGAAGTCGACAGGTAAATACAAACTTTGTTTCCATATAAAATTGGAATAAATAACTCGAATTAATTATATACTTTCAGAAAATCAACAGCGGGAGAATGCTCTTTTTCATGGTAAGGCGAATAAGTATTAATATAACATTTTTTGTATTATCCAAATATTTATACACTTTCAGAAAATCTACAGCGGGAGAATGCTCTTTTTCGTGGTAAGACGATAAATGTGATATTATATTAATTAATAAATCGAAATAAATATGTACTTTCAGAAAATCTACAGCAGGAAAATGCCGTTGTTCGTGGTAAGACTAATAAAGATTAATATTTGTATCAGCAAAATTAATACCAAAATTCCTTTCAGATCAATTGAACGCATTGGCCAAAATTTTAGCTGACCAAACAGTTTTGCTTAAACAACTTTTAAAGGAGAAGGCCGAAATTAATTCTGTTCGGGACCAGTTCCCGATTGAAACGGAGGAGCAGCTGATAAAAATGGAGGAGAATTTAAAAATGAATAGAGACATTTATGTAAGTAAATTAAAACTCTAAATAATATGACCTATTCATTTTCTATCTAAACCTTCTTCTTGAATCCTTCTATTTACAGATTTCAACAATCAAATCCATTTTACAGCCGGCCGGATTTCTCGTCAACTTAAAATTTATTTTAAGTGACGAAATTGTACTGGCATATAATGTGGATGGAGTGCAAGGGAAGAAAGCCCTCAGGAGCCACTCGGAGTTTTATGGAGCTTTGCTAGGTAAAGTACACTAGTGTTTATTATATTTTAATTAAATTAAACATATAATTATTACAGAATGTATTCCGCCTGGAGACGAAGCACCAGAAATGCTGATGCGCAAAGCGATGCAGAGGGTGAAAAAAAGGGTGTTTAAGCAAAGGTGTACCAAACCAAAAAATGAGTTAGAATCTGTTTAGGCTAGGCTAGATTTTAATATATATTTTAAGTTTGAATTTTGCAAGAATTTTGAATTAAACATTCATATAACACAATTTTGTATTTAATTTATTTATTATAAAGCCAGAAAGCTGCTGGTCAACCAGCTACTGGTAATCGGAAGGGTAATCGATCGGGAACTAGTTGCTGACGATCTACTGGTAACTAGGCCGTACCCAGCGCCTAGGCAACCAGCTACTGGTATCGAAGGTAATCGATCGGGAACTAGTTGCTGACGATTGTAACTAGGCCGTACCCAGCGCCTAGGCAACCAGCTACTGGTAATCGAAGGGTAATCGATCGGGAACTAGTTGCTGACGATCTACTGGTAACTAGGTCGGAACTAGCTCATAAGCAACTAGCTACTGGTAATCGAAGGGTAATCGATCGGGAACCAGGGGTGGTTACGCCCTAGGACATGCATGTGTTAAATTCTCCGCTGAAATACATTGTCGGGGAAACGAAGCGGAACTAGGGACATGAGAATGGTAGCTAGTTCGGCACCGGTACCGAACTAGTTGCCTGGTACTAGAGGGCATTCATACGAATGCATATGTGTGTACTATGTGTAGAGATGGTCCTGATCGGCAGCAGGCTGTTGCCACCTTTCATATGAAATGTTCGCCATAAACGGCGGCGTTTTATTATGCATATTTGATAAATTATCATAAAAATAAGAAGCAAAATAAATCACGGGCACATAAAAGCCGGCCCCGCATGCACAAACATACATACATATATTGTGCGTAAATATTATGATATTTTATATATGTATATATATGGTTTCCTTTATGGCTGGCAGTTGTCATTAAATCAAAAGGCTGCACTCATTATGACATAAAACTGGCGACTGGCGACTGGGAAATGGAAAATGGTAAATGTAAAATCTCAAAATGCTCGTAAAAATTCAAAGCAGAGCGAAACGTTTGCTGTGATTTATGTAATACAGATTTAATAAGGCTGTAAAACGAATGCTGTCCTGCCTTTCATTCCGTCTGCCCTTCCATAATTCAGGGAAAGCAATCAGCGGCAAAGAGAGTTGGCTAAGCCGTTGATGGAGAGACTCACCCTGGGTCCAGCTGAGTAATCCGAAAATGTTGCTCAACAGCAGTAGACGGAGCCTTAAGGAATTGTCGTTGGTCATGCTGCTGTTGCTGGTACTGGTGCTCCTTAGTCTGTAGCTGTGGCAGGGGCTGTCGCTTCTAATAATCCCAGGAAGAATTTCACTTTTAGGGGATTTCACGGATGGCATTTCACTTTAGTTGCAGCACATTACTTTGCACATTTCTTGCACTTGCCTTTCGGCGCTCACCCACACACCCACACACACAATTCCGGACGCATACACTCTCCGGATTTCAAGGGGCACACCACACCACCGTGGGATAACCTTCACCGATGTTTGTTCGGGGTTTCTTTCTGTATTCGTTTATTTGTTTGTTTGTTTGTGCCTTTTGCTTTTGCTGGCTGAGTTTGCTGTGGAACTTTACACCGTAACCGTTGCTGTTTTTATCCCACTTGTCTTCTTTGTTATTTTTAGAATGCACACTCGTATACTCGTACTTTTCCGTGTCGGCACTTTAGCGCTGAATTTTACATTTACTCGTACATTTACAGTATTGCTGTTGTTAGCTGTGCCCATGCCCCATATATAGGCAACACTTTCGCACCCACCCAATCAATTTATGGAGGCTAAATGTAAATCGAAACTCAACTACTGCCATTAGGGGGTTCCGCCTAAGCCTCCGCCTCTGCCTCTGCCTATATTCAATTCATTTTGCCAAGTTTGTAATGGCGCAACTGTGATTCGCCCCCCCTCTGGGCTACGTGCCTCATTCAGTTGGTTCAACCCAACCAACAAGTGTTTCCCCCCCAGAACGTGCCTTATGTAACACTAGTCAACACGATTTTTCCTCAAGGAACAAAACGAACTTTTTCTTAAAGATTTGGGGCTTAGAAATGGTTTGATGATATTTTTTTTTTTTCTATGGCAGAACTTTTTTTTAAAAAATTTTTGAAAACTGGTATTTTTTTTAAAGTTTTTTCAGAGGTAACGCTTGTTTTTTTCACATAACTCTAGTATTTTACGTCTGGTTGTAAAGAACTTTGCTATTTCGAAAAGATAATTGACGCAGCTAGAAGTTGATGCCAAACACTTTGTGATTTCAGCTTACCGTCTGGGAAATATAAAGCATTGAAATGCAAAAATTATGATTTTTGTGGGGTATTTTTTACGAAATTTTGACTTTAAAAACTCAGGAAAAGTCGAAAAAAAATTATATCTTGTGTCCTCTATTTTTTTGTGTATAGGTGCGTTAATTTGGCGTTTAATTAGGAACGCGATCAGGTACCAAATGTACAACCCTTGCTCGTTTGCTTTGTTCCCAATTGGCAGTTGGGCCCGCCGCCTTCAAAAAGGTATTTTTTGTTCATTTTTCCATATTTTAGGTTTGGTTAACGAATTTTAGCTCCAAAGTCTCTCCATAGATTTTAATGAGCGATACCTTAAACGATGCCAAATTAACGCACCTATACACAAAAAAATAGAGGACACAAGATATAATTTTTTTTCGACTTTTCCTGAATTTTTAAAGTCAAAATTTCGTTAAAAATACCCACAAAAATCATCATTTTTGCATTTCAATGCTTTATATTTCCCACATGGTAGCTGAAATCACAAAGTATTTTGGTTCAACTTCTAGCTGTTTTAATTACCTTTTCAAAATAGCAAAGTTCTGTACAACCAGACGTAAGATATTAAAGTTATGTGAAAAAAACTATCGCTACCTCTGAAAAAAGCTTAAAAAAAAAATACCAGACTTGAAAAATTCTTCAAAAAAAGTTCTGCTGTAGAAAAAAAACCATAATCTTTTAAAAAATTTTAAAGCCCCATATCTATCAGAAAAAGTCGGTTTGGATCCTTGAGGAAAAAAAAGTTCGGTTTTG